AGATAATCAAGATTTAAGTTCTTACACTGAAGAAAAAAAAAACAATAAAAGTGGAACTAAAAGGTGTGGCTCCCACCTATATGTTCCAGGATAAGGAGTTACAATGAAAAAGAAAGTTTTATATACTAGCCCCAAAACAACTCTTTAACGGTTGCGTGTACAGAACCATTGTTCCCTCTTTTTGAGGTGTTAATGAATAAATGTATTAAATTCATGATAAATTAAGCATAAGCTTGGCAGAAGAACTCTGCCGCTCGGAGGAGGAGCTCCATAGCTTGGAAAGGTCCTCAGCTCCTTATCCGCCAACATCCCAACTTAGCAACTCCTTAGCTCCATATGTTTTTACTAATTCAAACTAGTTGAGCTATTCACGCTAGAGAGCGCTATCTTCTATTCCATTTCTGGTGCTATCTCATTCAAATAACTATTGAGGATCTTCCAACAGTCCAATCTTTTGACCTATAAAAAGATCAAGTTGGGTATTATCCGGGTAAGTTGACGACTTCCCCCTAAATAAAATATCTCGCAATCACTCATTTTTGACTTTATAATCGAAGAGTCAACCACCAGAGTCCCTCTAGTTCTCGACTTCTCTTTGCGCTGATTGCCAAGTCATAATTTCAATCAACTATCTTGATGAACAATTTTTGGGATCAGTAATTATTTTTTGAACAGTTATTATGTTATGTTTCCTTAATGTGCACAAAAATCAAAAAACAAAAAATTGAAATTATAACTCAATTTCCACCCATAAAAAAAACTCCCAAATTTTAGAGTTTAATAATAAAATATAGATCAAAGATTAAAATTCATTATAATTTAACTTAATAAAAAAACTTTTGAAAGATTAAGTCCATAAAATAAAATTTAGAATTTAAGTCTAAGAATGTAGTCTACCTCACATGTACACATTTATTAATGGGCAGAAAAAGGGTTAACGCTTCAATAAAAAAGTATAATAAACATCTCTCTCTCTCTCTTTGCATTCTCAATGCAGATTTATTTTTTGTTCAATTATTTTTTGTTATTTTTCATTTGTGTTGTTATAGCATGTGGTTGTGATTATTTTGATAAGTGGATTTATGAGGTTTGTAAGGTTAAGTTTAGAATTTTGAAATTGAATCGTCTAAATTGACTGTTGATAGCTTGATATAGTGTGAAATGTGATTCTAAGTTTTCAATTTAGAATTTGACAATTTTTTTTGGTTTGAATTTTTGGATTTTTATTTGATCCAATATACATTAAACATGGTTTTTTTTATACTTGTTATATTTTTTGGTTTATTTATTATAAATTTTTTTATTAAATAACCGGTCCGACTAGTGACCCAATGACCTGATTTTTTTATTGGGTTGATATTCGGGCCGGATTTTAAAACTGTGATCGTAATATTTTTAGGATCGATAAAAAATTATCACAAAATTTATCAAATGACTCTAAAAAATTATTAAAAAAAAAACTCACAATAATTAATAATTGTGGTACAATATTGAATTTTTTTTTGATATCCTAAACTTATTTTTTGGAAACAGAAAAATCCCATGGCTTGATTTCAGCGAGTAAAGACGCGCTTATGTTATTCAGGCTTGTAACTCTAAGTAGAATTAAGGGCAATGTCCAGTATATGAATCGATCCCTCAACTCATACACCAATTAAATCAGAATTTACGTTTGATCGGATTCTCAAGAACCACGTCAAAGACTTGGATACGATTTACGCAAATAAACTCAAATCTTATCCTATCAAACATCTGCACTTTTGCTTTTACGCCCAAACGACTTCGAACGTCTAACCTCCCACGGGAAGCCTGAGGCTGTGGCCACCTGGGCTACCCCTGTTGGTTTCCTGAACTGATTGATACCTTAAAACTTAGAAGTGTCATTGTACACGTCATACTCACGGGCGAGTACGATGGCAAATAGTGTATGCGCGTCGCCAAACGGTTTCATTTCAAAGGCAAAAGGGCAAAAAGAAATGGTAAAAAAAGGAGTCCTTTCTCATCACTCATCGAAGGCCCATCTTTATTTTGTATCGGAGCCCTAGATTTTCTCAATCGCTCTCCTCCATTCCCTCAGAGTCTCTCTCGCTCCTCATCTCCTGAAAACATGGTCAGTACTCTTTCTTTTTCTCTTTCTCTCTAGGGCTTTACATGTCTATCAGAACATTTATTTGCATGTCTCTGAATTTCTCTTTCTATTCGTATTTTTTTTTTTTTCGTGTTCGATGTGCTTATGTATGTTCAAATGATGTTGTTACGGAGTTGGATTTGATTGAAATTTGTCGAAATGTATACGATGAATTGGAGATGCCTGTGTTTTTGCATAGGTTTTGTGGTTGTACGAATCCGCAGATCTGATTCGACTTTTGGTCGAACATACGGTTGTGGGTGTTGATTAAGGGTAATTGATTGAATGAAGATTGATTAATCAATTATTCATGCAATGCAATTAATGAAATGTAGTTTGATGATGTGGATTTTTGCCAGTATTGTTGTTGGGCTTGTCTCTGTCCTCCCCAAAATTTGAGTTTTGTTTGGTTTGAGGAATAACAGTGCGTCAGAACTGTAATTGAGAGACAGCAATTGTTGTCTTTTAGTTTCATTACAGTTTCCACTTGTTGGTTCATGTGCATTAGGAATTGAATTCAAATATTAGGGAACCCAAATTTTCGTTCTTATTCCCATGAAAGAATCATATTCAGTGATTACTCACCTGATGTCTCATGCATCGCTAGAATAATATGGGTCCATTTGGTTAGCAAGAAAAGGATGATGGAAATTGAAAGTGATAGAAAGGGTGGTAAATGAAAAAGAAATATATTTTCATTTATGTATTTGGTGAGCACGAAAAACTTATAAGAAAGTTTTAAAAAATTGTCATTCTATTGTTTGAAAGAAATTAAAGTTACAAGAATTTTATATTAATTATCTAAATTATCCGTAATTATATTAACTCGGTATAAAGAATAAAAAATATGTATTATAATTAAAAATTAAAATTTGTAAAAGAATTGACTCTTAACCTAATTTTGCGACAAAGATAAACCCGAACCCAAACCTCCGAACTAGATTATATGGTTAGCCTAACCTATACCAAGTTTTTTCAAAATTCATAACTAATTTAATATTTTAAGAAAAATAAGAATAAAATAGGAAGTTAGGTTATTAATCACAATTTTCTTGTGTTTTTTTGTAAGAAAAAAAAAGTTGGATGGTTGTGAGAAAATCTTCATTTGGAGAAATTTTTTTTTTTTTCATAATTTTCTATTTCATGCTGACCAAACACATGAAAATTTTGAAAATAGCGGGGATAATAGTAGAAAATGTAAGAAATTTTATTTTTTTTAAAAAAATAAAAATTTTCCTATGTTTGGTTAGTATGAAATGAAAAATGATAGAAAAAATAATTTTATTCCATAATTAAATTTTTTCACAAGTAACTAACTTTTTTTCTTTCAAAAAACACAAGAAAAAGTAAGAAAGTTATGATCTATAATCTAACTTTTCATTTTATAGTTATTTTTTTCTTAAATATTTAATTGGTTATGAATTTTGAAAAAAGCTTGGTATGAACAGATTTGCATTGGGTTGAGGCTAGTCTTTGTTCCAAAATTATGTTATGAGACACTTTTTTTAACTTTTAATTATAATACATATTTTTTCCTTTTTTAGACCGATTTAATATAAATTATACAATTGAAAATTTTTTCTTGTAATTTTTATTTCTTTCAAACAATAAAATGAAATTTTTTAAAAATTCTCTTAAGTTTTTAGTGCTTACCAAATACATGCATGAAAAAATATTTTATTTCATTTCACTTTCTATCACTTTTTTTTTTCATCATTTTTTTCTTCCTAACCAAATAGACCCTAAAGAAATTAAAAAAAAAAAAACTTTTCTTGTGCTAGTTTTGCAAGAAAACACTGAAAAATGCAAGAAAGTGAGTTTCGTGAGACCAGAACATTTTTTAGTGAACTCTCCCACACTTGAGCGCTTCCAATTTTGCCCATGCATTAGAGATTATGGTCCCTCCCTCTTTGACCATAAAAGGACCACCCCAAGGTCTGGTTATTTGAGCTAGGGAGGGAAGTCACGTAATCTCCATGGGTAGGGATGTTTGGCAACAACCAATGGCAGAATAATACCCATCAAAGTGTGTCCTTGGCTTTGGCACAAAGGGGGTACATACCACTGGTGATGTTTAGCCCTTTTGAGCCAGATATCAAATCAAAATCATCTTAGCCAATGACCATAGACTTATCCAATTCTGAGAAGCTCTGTATAGGATTGTCTCTAAATAGTTCCAGGCTATGTTTTTGCGGGTCAATGCTCCCTACTGATAAGGTTTTTAAGAAGCATTGTTGCACAATAGAGTGGGAAAAGCATGATTCTCATCCTCCTTGCCAGATGAATTGTCGGGGCAAAACCAAAAATTCAAAACAAGGGGGCCCCAATCAAGAGTTAAGAAAAATATACGATCCAGAAGGAGACATTGAGAAAGATTCAAATTTGAAGGAGGACCAACTTCATAATATCTTGAAAAGTACACAGATTGAAGGGCTAAAGTAAAATTTCTGAAACTTAGGCTGGGCCATGGGGATTGCAAAAGTTTTGGCCTCGCCCTGTTTCCTGTATCTCCTCTTTGTAGTTATTCTTTAACTACCGTGCGATTTTTTTTTTTCACGTCCTTCCATGTTGCAATAAATGGCAGCATTTGGGAAAGTGTGACATCAAGCTTATCAATGCAGCAAACCTTGTCTATTTCCACAGTGCAATTGAATGGATGAACTTAATTGGCTTCTTATTTCTTCACCTTTGCCAAAGTATACTTTGTGCTTGTAGTAGCCCTTCACTTTAACTGACTAGGAATACTAATGATTAGGTGTTTTTTTTTTGGTCGAATAATGATTAGGTGTTTAGGATCAACTAAATGGACTAAGTTTGATTAGGACTTGGGAGATAATTTACTATGAACTTGGGAAACTAGTGTACATAACATATGTTGCTAGTTTTGAGTTGCCTGGAATTAGATTTGATTACTGATATGATCTTCATTTTTTCAAATACTTGTGTTGTTTGGGTTGACAAAGCTTTGAGGTATATTGGGTAATCTTGACATTTTAGTATTTAGTTTGGGGGTACCATTTGTTGTATGGTATCTGCTGATATTTCACCTAATGTGTAGGCCAACGCAGCATCGGGAATGGCTGTTCATGATGACTGCAAGCTGAAGTTTCTAGAATTGAAGGCAAAAAGAACTTATCGCTTTGTGATCTTCAAGATTGAAGAGAAGCAAAAGCAGGTTATAGTCGAAAAGCTTGGTGAACCAACCGAAAGCTATGAGGATTTCACAGCATGCCTCCCTGCTAATGAGTGCCGATATGCTGTGTACGACTTTGATTTTGTAACTGCTGAAAATGTTCAAAAGAGCAGGATTTTCTTCATTGCTTGGTAAGGTCTTTTCTACTTCTTGTTTTAAAGGATGTTGATTTTGTGTGTTCCTTCGAAAAAAATTCTGTTGTGTTGTTTTTGAAATTTTATTTGTTATGGAGGTCTCCTGATACATCAAGGGTGAGAAGCAAAATGATTTATGCAAGCTCCAAGGACAGGTTCAAGAGAGAGCTGGATGGTATTCAGATAGAGTTGCAAGCAACCGATCCAACTGAGATGGGTCTTGATGTTATTAGAAGCCGAGCTGGTGGACCATAAACTGCCATCCACGTAATGGAGAGTTCTCCATACTCTCTGCTTCACGTAAATGTCTATAGTTTGCAGAACATGAAAACCTTGATTAGCTATAATATTGGCTTGTTGGTTATCTTTACTCTTTTAAGTCATGTCTTAATCAAGAACAGCAATGATTTTAAGAATACTGTATGTGGTGTGATTTTGTCAAACATAAATGATGATTGTTGGGGATAGATATGATATGTTTGTTTTTGCCTATCTTATGGATTCATCTCGTTCTTGATACTGAAATGTTGGTAAACGGGCATAAGTTCTTTTTTATTTGAGAACCTGTTCTTGCTTTCTCTTTGTTCCATGATACTGGAATTTGTCGGAACTTTTTCTCACTTATGCCATGGTTTGTAGTCTCTAATATAGCCTTTGGTGATTCAGTTACTGGAAGCAGAGTTTGTGGTGTAATGTACCTATGCATGTTTTATGTTTCATCGGTATAGGAGGGTAGTAGCTATAATGATGTATTGAGGATTGTAGAATTGATGCTTGAACTTTAGCATGCTAAACTGATGAAATGGATGTTCTGTCGACAAGTTTACTTCCGACATGTTCTCTTCTGTGTATCAGAAATTTTCTTGTTTTTATATCATGAAATAAAAGTTGGTCTGCAATAGGGCTAATAATTGAACCGAGTTTTCCAAGTTCGGCTTAGATTCGACTCGTTTTGGGCTTGTTCAGGTTAAAAGAGTCGAACTTGAATAAATTTTTAGGCTCGTTTAAAAAATTGAGCCGATGATTCGTTTATGTGTAAATATTCGGATTCGCTGCTTGTTTTGAGCTTGTTCAGGCTTGACTTGTTTAGAAAATGAGTTGAATTTGAACAATTTTTTAAATTTGTTTTAAAAAAATAAGTTCGACAAACTTGGTTCGAGTTTGTTGGATTATTAGCCCTAGTCTGCTCTTCTGTTGTTCGGGTATTCTAAGGGAAGTAATCTATATAATAAAGTAGCTTACAATTTAAATATCAAAAGATAAATCAAATGATTTTTGCTATTCGCGGTTGAGATCGTTTTAAATTTTACTTTAAAATTAATCTAACTGTTAATATTAACACCTTAAATTTAATAGGAAAAATAGATCTCTGAGGATGTGTTTGGAGTGATTTTTTAAAAATTATTTCTCATAAATACTTAAAAAAAAATAGTGTTTAAAACTGTTGCATTACTACCATCACCTCAGCATTACCAGTACCACCGCCATCGTCATCGCTGCCACCACCATCACCAGCGTCGACACCGTCGCCATCACCATCACCAGCGTCGACACCGCCGCCACCACCACCACTACTGCCACCACCATTATTGTCGCCGCCTCCACCACCATCATTGTCGCCGCCACCATCACCACCACCCACACCCATAACTGCCTCTACCACCCTCATCGCCATCACTACCACCATTATCACCACCGCTATTATCGCCACCACCACCATCGTCGGCATCGCCACCATAGCCATTATCGCCGCCACCATGGTCATTGCCATCCACCACAATCATCATCGTTTCCTACCACCACCACTACCGCCTACCACCTCTCAGCCCCACTATAAACCAATATTTAAATTTATTTATCTCTTCTCTATATTTGTGATTTGATTTTGAATATGAATACAAATATATTTATTATTTATCATTTTTTATTACTCTATGTCTTCAGGCGCAGACAATAACTAGTATACAAATATAACTCTCCCTCACACACACACACATTGTATGATCAAAACTATCACCAATAATTAAATGGGGTAGAGAGNTATGTCTTCAGGCGCAGACAATAACTAGTATACAAATATAACTCTCCCTCACACACACACATTGTATGATCAAAACTATCACCAATAATTAAATGGGGTAGAGAGCATAAACTCATGATTCATAAGTTTTGCTCAAAACAAATGGTTCATCGTATCCCTCAATTAATGAAAGGCAAAAAAAAAAATTATCGATAATTATTTACAAATAAAGAGATGTCAAAGGAGTATAAGAAATTGTGACATTTGATTAACCCATGTCAATTCTCAAAAATGCTTGAACATTCTTCAACAAAATATAACTTTATCTGAAACTGGCATAATTAAATAGATAAAAAAATATAAAATAGCGTGACACAACTCTCGTAATGAATTTAATAGTGTTGAATATCAAACAATGAAAATAGTATCTTTGAAAATATAATAGTTTACATGAAGTATGGACAAAAAAAAAATTTCTTAAAGAGAAGAGGAGGATAGCTCGAATTTTGTATTACTTTATCCTAATTTTTAATTTGTTTTTATAGTGTGCTTTGTGTTGTTTAGTGTAAGAGTGGTTCAACAAAAAAAAAATCGAAAACATATTTTACACTAAAATTATAAATTTAAATCACGTTTTCGTATCAAGATCAATGAACTAGAAATAAAAAGGATCAGTTGGAAAATTTTATATGGGAATGGGCTAATTACATTTTGTATCCTAAAAAAATTAAAAATCCTTATTTCATACCTCATAAGATTAAATCTCTCATATTAGACTTTAAATATATTAGCTATATTGTAACGTGACTCTTTCGTTAACTTACTCTGCTAACAAGTCAATTGGGTGATTTTTGATAGAAGAACTAATGAAAACTATTAGAAAGTGTTATATTACAATACTTTTAATATATTCAAAAAAATAATATAAAAAAATTAATTTTTAAAGATATAAAATAAAAAATCTTAATTTTTTTAAGATGCAAAATGTGATTCCATTTCATCATTCGATGTCAATTCATCGGTCAGCATTAAGAAAAATAGGGTTGTTAATTTTCGACACGATACGTTAACACGATACGAACTGAATATGAAATTAATAGGTTCGACACGAAATTAAACAAGTTAATGAGTTAAAACAGGTCAACACGCTTAAATATGAAAAAAATCATGTCATGTTCATGTCAAAATCAGGCTCGTATATTTTAAACGGATTGACATGATTCAGACACGAATCTAACCCAACCCATTGTAAACCCGTTTATGACAATATAATTTGTTTATTATATATGACTGATGTGATCTTAACATTATTATTTATCAATTTTGATTTTTACTATAGTAATTAGTAATATAGTTCATAACATTATTATGAAAGTATACTAATATAGTTCTTGCTTTATTTTTAGGTTGAAACTTGAATACATTTTAGTTAATTTCATTAATTAGATGTGATGTTATTTGTAAAAAAATTATTTGAAATTTTGGATGAATGATTAAATGATGTATTTAATGACAATGAATAGATATGAAAATAGGTTATGTGTGCTAATAAAGTCTGTATTATGTGCGCTAAATATGTAAAAATAACATGTGTGCTAACCTAAAAACAACCTGTTTATTAAACTTGTCAATTAAGTTGGATTTGGATAACCCGTTTAATAATCAGGTTAGATTAGTATTTACACATTTCGACACGATTATTAAACATGTCAGGTTCAAATTTTAGGATTTTTGACGCAAACTCAAAATTAACCAAACACGAAATGACCCAATCTCACATATCTGACACCCCCTAAAGAAAAATCACGTGATCTCATAATTCATCAAGCCTAAGGGTGTTAATTGAGTTGCGCTTTGTAAGTTTGAGCTCAAGTTTGTTAAACTTATTTTTTTTAAATGAGTTAAAAAAATTATTTCAGTTTAATTTATTTAAAAAATGAGTCAAATTTGAGTCTTGGCCGAACCCTAACCAACCACGAGTAATTCGACTATCTTATATATAATCGAGTTGCATTTTATAAAGGTGAAAAGCGGCTTTTTAGATTATTTTTTTAGAATAAATTTTAAAATTTATTCTAATTCAACTAATTTAAAAGGGCAGAACTGAAGCCGAGTTTTATCTATACCTCTTCTGTCCAAGTAGCTCGTCTCCATTAACACTTGTAACCGACTCACCCCACGCCGCTCAACCACCTCTCCTCCTCCTGCAAAACTTTTCATTTCTTCTCCTAAAACCCACTCTGATTTCGAAACTCTAATTCGAGTACTCTTTGTTTATGTGAGAGAAAATGTCCGAAGGTCTGGACATGTCTCTCGATGATATCATCAGGAAAAACAAGGAATCTGGAAGATTCGAAGGTAGAAGCAGGGGCAGAGGTCGCGGCCGTGGTTTTGGTTCCGGACCTGGTCCAGTTCGTCAGTTCTCCAATCGCGCTCCGACCAGAACGACGCTGTATTTGGCTCCACAGCCTCCGCCGGTAGTGTTAGAGGTTTCCATTTCCTAATCTTTCTGCAGTTGATGATGTTCTGATTCTATATATGTGGTGTATTTTAGTATGTCTTCTGTCTCTATCTATATGTGTATGTGTGTGTGTGTGTGTGCCCCGGGGAGGGGGGTTAGAATATGCGTACAAGTGTGTGAGTGTGTGTAGGGTTGTTTGTTTGAGTGTGACTGTGTGTAATTGTACTCTGTTAAGCAGGCAGTTCAAGTGCAAGAGATATTGATGAGTGGAGGGACGATCTCTGAGACTGGGACAAAGTTATATATCTCTAACTTGGATTATGGGGTTTCTAATGAGGATATTAAGGTAATTGTGTCATTCACATGTTTTTATATATTTTTGTCTATGTATTAATATTAATCTATCTATTTTTAACTCTCAAAACTCTGTATATTGTTTAATTGTCAGTTTGGGTGTAAAACTGCTGATTATTTGTTTGTGTAAAAAAAATTGTGATTCCATGTGAAGGATAACTTTGATTGAGTTATTAAGTAAAACATAGAGTGGATGATGGGGATGTAAATGGAAGTGGGTCGGATAGAAGCAAGATCCCAATGCGGGTGTGTTTCTGTCATGACATTAATCTAATCTCTTTGTGCAGGAGGAGTGCTGGATTTTAGTCTAATTTGGGTTTGGTTAGACTCGGTAGTCTTAATTTAATCTGGGTGATTCAACTCAGATGTGTACTGTGGTTGCAGTTATTCTTATCTCCAAGATTTGATTTCCATAGGGACATTGGGTGTAACCAATGCCAATAGACTTAAAGAAGGACAATCAAGCATGGCCTGATGATGTTATATTCATCAGTATTGTTCTTCACCTATTTCCCAGAGTAATAAAAATGGTGTTCCATGGACCATGATACCAATGTTCATGCCAAGTGGTAAGCACTGTTCAATATACTTTTAAGTGTTCAGCATAGCTGCCTCACATATATTGGGAGCGATTAGGCAACAAAACAAGCATACCAGTAACAATATAAAGTGACCTTTCTTTTACACCAGTGGAGTTTTCATGGTATTTGAAGAGGAGTTGTACCTTGTACTGGTTCACTAAAAGAAGTAGTTGGTTTCTTTGTCTAATACACTCAGAGCTTACTCTTTGCTATCTATGTTTCAGTTCCATTGATTCCTCCAATTTACCTCTGGTACAATTGTTTGGGCTTGCCATCGGGGAACTATTGCCGCATTATATGCAAGAATTCATATTGATTCATTTTGCGGCTTTTTCTTTTTCTTAGTAAGAGCTGATTATTTGGTGAAATGTTTGCACTGTGTATGTGCTTTTTCCTTCTTTTTTTTAAACGGGAGTTTATGTGCTTGTTGATAAGAGCCATTTTTGCAGTTTATATTGATGAGCAAAGATGATGTTTGACCTGATAATTCAGCACTTCATTTCTTATACATATCCCCCCCCCTCCCAAAAACACACACACACACATCCTTGTTTCTCTGGGTGGATCCTGTTTAAATATACATGTACACTGGTGGTGGCAGTNCCTCCCAAAAAAACACACACACACACACACACATCCTTGTTTCTCTGGGTGGATCCTGTTTAAATATACATGTACACTGGTGGTGGCAGTTGCCTAGGGTGGTAGTGACAGTATGGCCGTGGTGACCTTGGTTGTGCTTTGCTGTTGTTATTATGGTGATTGGAGTATTGATGTGGAGTTGGTTATGGCAGCACAAGTGCTAATCTCTTTAAGGAGCTTATTAAAATTATGAAAGTAAATAAATTAAAATGGGTTACTTCTTGGTGAGATAGCCGAGGAAAAAACTGATCGTAGAATTTCTCACATGTATATATGCATATATAATTGAATCATCAGTCTTAAATCTTCTAAGTTTGTGGTGTCTACATATTCGAGTTTCAACAGAACTCGTTGTCTATGTATTCATTTTTCTATGATAGTTTTGGTTATTTTGTCGTGTTTTCTCGTGCTTTCTATTGGCTACCCTTTCTGAAATCAAACCCGACAAGAAGATATTAGTACTTCAGAATGCAAGCAGTAACATATGTGTAGCTCATGCAGGTGCTGTTCTCTCTGGTTGGTGACCTGAAACGGTATTCCATCCATTATGATAGGAGTGGAAGATCCAAGGTATCTTTATACGTTTAGGCTAATAAGGTCCTTTGGAAGAATTATTGTTATGTACTGGTAGCTTATGAAGAACACTTATCATAGGGAACCGCGGAAGTTGTTTTTGCTCGTCAGTCAGATGCTTTAGATGCTATCAAGAGATACAATAATGTGCAGCTCGATGGACAACCAATGCAAATTGAGTTGGTAGGATTGAATCTTGTTACACCTGCTGCTATGCCTCCTAACACTATTGGCATTTTAGGAAACCCAAGTGGCGAGTTTAGAAGGTATGCACTTTATAACATGATTAACAGCGTATTAAATATATTTATTACACAAGTTTAAAAACTTGGTGGCTGCAAAATTTACATGCGAACATAGCAGTATTCTTATTGGGGCCTGTTAAAACATTCGAGTGCCTTCTTGCATTAACATATGAAGGTTCCTTCCCTAGGGTAAATATATGCAACGTACACAACAATGACTATGAATACAATTATTCCTGCATACATGTCTTGTTATCTTGTTCATTGCATTTGGTTTGCATGATTGTTCAATACCTTTTTTTCTTATGTGCAAACTAATAGCGAGTTTGATATCATGCATATTTGGGACTATTTGCCTGTATCATTCAGATGTTAAGATTTCTCACATCAAGGAAAGGGATAGCAGTTGCAACTTGATAGATGGAATGTGGATTTTCTGAATATTTAATCTGCGCTGAACGTAAATACTAAGTCTCTTTTAATTTTTCCAACTTTTAAGTCAATGCCACGTGATCTGCACAGCAGGTTGTTTTAGTTATTCTGTGTTATGAGCCGTTGTACAATGCAAAACTGGTGTTGAATCTTTTCTTATTCTTCTGTTTTTGGTTGGGTGGGAGGATGGGGGGAGGAGACTACTACAATCTGTTTTGTGGGGCCAAGTTCTGCATGTTCTTACCTGGGGATTTCAAACTCTCTGCTTTTTTCTCGTACACCCCTCCCTAATAACAGATATTCTGTTATTTTTCGAGTAATTAATTCTTGTCTGCCCGAATACTAATTGTATGGTTTGTGGAGGAAAATGCTTCTATTGATTGTCTTATGGCTCATACCCGTTTGAAATTCATTTTGAAGCCTGATTAGTTAGTTTTTCCTACCTTTTTGGTCAGTCGACGAGTTGCAGGTGGGGGTTGGGATCGTGGTGGTGGTCGTCGTGGATTTGGGAGGGGTCGTGGACAAGGGAGAGGCCATGGAGAGAAGACATCAGCTGCAGTTCTTGATGCTGATCTGGAGAAGTATCATTTAGAAGCTATGCAAAGTCACTAACTCTCGCTATTTTTTATAGTTTCCCCCGTGTTTCCCCCGACATTAGCGTGCTTGGTACAAAATCCTATTTTGTTCTAGATAGAAGTAACTAGTTGGTACTGGTTGATCCCTACACGGCAACGGTATGTTGAACTTATGGAGCATAGTTCAATTTTTGTTGCTCTGCTTATTTTGATATTAGGTACTTAGATAGGTGGCTCCTGTGTTTGTCAGCTACCCTGAGATTGCTGGGTTCTTGTCTCAAAAAGAAGATGATCTGGCTTTATATAGCTTGTTCACTTGTATAGTTGGTTTGTTACCATCATTTATCATGTCTTTCTGATACAAAGGTAAAGGAAGAAAATGAAAACTGAGAGGAAAAAAGTTCCTGGGTGAATATAGGCAGCTCTCTCTCTCTCTCATATATTACTACGACCACGTTGACAAGTAATATCACCAATTAATTGATATTAATCAATTGGATTGGTGAATCTCACCTAATCTAGTGTGATAGTTTCTGAAAGTCTTGGTTAATCAAATGATGGGGGTTCACCTAGCTTATAAGGTGTTTTTTTATTGGTTTTAATATTTCGTATCATTAAATGTGACCACAGACATTGAATATTTACGCTTCCCTTGTTCCCCCTTTTCTCCCTCCCTCTCTCTCTCCTCTAATTAGTTAATTAGTTTGCTTGTAAAGGGTAACAATGGTAAAAACAGACTTCGAATGGCTAGGGTAGTTTGAATGTAAGAAGCCTTCTCTTTTGAAACACTACTATCGGTGAACAAACTAGACCTATGACCACTCAAACCCCACCTTTCCCCCTCTGACAATTTTCTATAGCATATGGTCCATGTAACGAACCTTTGTTGCCAAGAACTAGAAGAGAAGGAACTGAAGGTGGCAAGTTGTTTATTATGGACAGTGCTGATGAGTTAAAGAGTCTATTTCGTTGGCAATGCACCTTTTAATTTGACCATTATTTCAAAATTGTGAATTGCCTCTCGGGATTTATCATTGCCTCAAAGTTCAATATATATACATTAGTTATTGACAAAATAATAAAAAAATTATCAATCATAAATATATTTGTAATTACACCAAAAATCAAATTACAAATATAGAAGAGAGAAAAATGAATTTAAGTATCGGTTGTAGGAAAATGAGCAGTGGTAGTGGTGGTGGGCGGCGATGACAGTGGTGGTGGTGGCAGCTGTAAGTGGCAACAGTGATGGTGGTGGTAGGTTTTGGGTGACGATGATGAAGTAGCAATCGTGGATGACAACAATGATGGTGGTGGGTGTGCGCGGTAGTGAGCGATGGTGATGGTGATTGGGAGTGGTGGTTAGACAATGACGGTGGTGAATGTAGTGGATTGTGGTGGTGGGCGGTGATGATGACAGTGGTGGGTGTAAGTGGTGGTGGTGAGGATGGGTGATAGTGGGTGGTAGCAGTGGCAGAGGGCAATGACGGGGGATGGCAGTGGGGCGACGGTGGTGGTGGGATGATGGTGATAGTGGTAATAAATAAAATAATTAGATGATGGTGGTGGTGAGTGATGATGGTGCATGGCGATAGTAATAATCGGTGATGGATGACAATAACGACGGTGGGGGTGGCAATGGTGGTGGTGGTGATGGTGAGGTGACGACGGCGGAGGAGATGGTGAAGTTTTTTTGTAGAGAAGTGATTTTAAAATAGTAGAAATTTTTTTTTACTTACTTATTTAACTAGTAAAACTACTTTGGACTTATTTAAAAGTAATTAAAATAAGTTATTTCAAATATTACTTATTTTTTTCAAAATACTTATGAGAAGTCATCAGTCCTAAAACTATTTTTTGAAAAGTTACTTTAAACACATCTTTAGGAGCTTATTTTTTCAATTAAATTTATGGAATTAATATTAATCGTGAATTAACACTTTAAAATAAAATTAAAAACAATTTTAATCGTAAAAAACAAAAGTCATTTTTTACATTGTCTTTTATATATATATATATATATATATATATTATTATTGGACCTTTTGAATAATGTTCAAGAAGATGTNACAATTTTAATCGTAAAAAACAAAAGTCATTTTTTACATTGTCTTTTATATATATATATATATATTATTATTGGACCTTTTGAATAATGTTCAAGAAGATGTTATGAAAATTGAACATTTTCGCATGGAAGAAGTAAAACAAATATTGGGGGTTCTAGCAAAGCATTTCACAATTGATTTATTGAAAAATAAGTTTTAATTTAAATCTATTGGATATTTCATTTTTTATTTAATAAAAAAACCAAAAATAAGTTTTAAATCTTCAGCATAATCCATTTTAATGGCTGACTGGCGATTACTAACAATTCCGACTTCATGCATACGAGTTGCAACCTACGGTCCGAATTGAGGACAGATTTTTGAAGTTAGCTCACCCTCGCGAGCTCATGACCTTTTGTCCTAGCCATTGTAGCATGTGTGTTGTGCAGGCATAAGAGACATGATGACTTAACTTCATCCTCACCTTCCTCCGACTTATCACCCGGAGTCCATTGAGGGTAACACCCGTTTCACCTGATGGTTTTGAATCGATGTATCTTCAAGTACATTACAGAATGAAACTTGTGAATTGTGGTTGTTTAAGGAGTGTTGGAAGAGGGGAAAAGCAACCGAACGCAAGTCCATGAAGGCCAAGTTTCCACTCTAATCTGATCAATAGAATTGTATGGGGTTGGGGTAAAAGATCCAAAACAAGGGGATAACACACCACAGGCAGCAGAAGAGTGCCTCTACAAGCCTCCAATAATTCCCAATTCAACGAGAACACCACAACTAGCTTTTGAATAAATGATTCCATAGTAGAAAAATGTATTTGAATTAAGTGATTTCATCAATAAACCTACCAATCAGCTGGTCAATACCTACGAAAGCCATGGTCATACATCTGGACAGAAGGGCACTCGTAGGCTTGGTGGCCCCGGCCACCACAGTTGTTGCAGATGACAATGGATACACAGTCACGGCTGCTATGGCCTGGATGACCACAATTTCGGCAAACCATGTCACGAAAAGGACCTCCAACTATTTCTGGTGGTGGCAGGCCCGACTTGTGGCATTGACGGGCCATGTGACCTGACATGTTGCATATGTTGCACACAGGAGAATTGGCGCAATCACGAGCAAGGTGACCAGTTTTACGGCAGTTATTGCAAGCCTTTTCATTGGTGCAGTATGCAGCAATGTGGCCTGGCTTGTAGCAGTTGTTGCAGAGTCTTGCATCGTAAGAGTGTAAACTTGGATTAAAACAATCACGAGCCAGGTGACCCATCTTACCACACATATGGCAAACTGGATCATTGTTGCATTCGCTTGCAAGGTGTCCAGGCCCTTTGCAGTTCCAACACATGGTGGTTGATGTACACTCGGCAGCAATGTGGCTAAAAACAAAGACAAAGTTCAGTCAATGGCAATAAGGAAAATGGATGGTTCCATCAGGCAAATCCAATCAACCATCAAAGACCTGCTTTGGAATTCTCCAATTTCTGCAGTTCTCCATTTTAATGAGGTTGTTTCTCGGGAATGAGCATGAACGGGATTTGTAGGCCAAAAGATAAACCTTACTGCAGAGACTGACGACCAGACCACCTCAAAGGACCGAACATAAAAAGATAGTCATCTTACCCGGGAAGTCCGCAGTTGTTGCATACAGTGACATTTGGGCAATCTCTGGCAAAATGCCCAGGTCGTTTGCATTTATTGCACAAATAATCTTGCCTGGAATGCAACAAGTGGCTTTATAAGGTACAATTGAACTCAAGGGACTTCAAGAAAAAGTGGAATTCGAGCATCAATAATCAAACAAGCAAATCATGAACTAAATGTAAGTGCTAATTGTAATCAGCATATTATTGTTAAAAAATGCGCACGGACTCCAAGCCTAACAAGAAGAAAACATGAAGAAATTGCAGCATGGGCAAAACAACGCAAAGAATGCTTCGGATCAGGATTACCATACAAAATTCACAATCTTATCCAAAACCCAATAATTCACAAACTAATCGTCTCTGAATAGATTTTTGGGATCTATGAATTAAGACCGTCATAGCCTAGACTCACTCTCTAAGTGGACCATATTGCAGATTTAGTAGTGTTTTAGTGCACTACATTATAACCCTAAAAGAAAGGCAACACCATATTTGTGTTGGTAATTGTGCATAGTTTACAATTGGATGTAAATAAAAACATAGGGGGAGAAATACCATCCTAACAAATGGAATTCAGGGAAAAGAGGCGAAGAAAATCATCAAGGCACTAACGATGAGAACATGCTACCTAAAATTATCCCTCAAACAAAACCCCACAAACAAAAAGGCCCACCCAAAGAAAGCCAAAAATTAAAAATAAACAAATAAAAAGGAATAAAACCACAATAAAAGACAAGACCCTTAGCAGACTTGAGCCTCAAGCCGGGCACGACGGCATTTCAATACAGCATTCAGGTCAAATTTGAGGTGTACCCCTCTAACCCTTTGTTTGTTTAATTTCACATGAAAAAAAATCTTAGTCTGACAAAGGAACAAAATGAGATTATGCAAAATTTTAAATTCCTGCGAAGCAATTTGGAATACAAGGGCAGGCCATACAAACTTGGCCAAAAGCAATATTATTTAAGGCAAAAATCGCATCGAGGCACTAAGATCTGCTTGGAACTAGGCGTGATGCTAAGAGTGGGTTTCCTTGAAGGGAAGTGTGTGTTATATATAACATGTGAAGCTTATAAATTATAGAGAAAATAGAACATAATGCAACAAATTTTAAAATTTCGGGCCGATACAGCATATAAAACTCATCCCAGCAGCAAATTTCAATAATATTCTGCTGCAAAAAGCTGATTCCAGGTAAATACAAGAGATACAATCATACAACTCATTTTAGCTAATTCCAGAACATAGAACAACTACAGCAAGATTCCTGGCAAAAATAATCAGCTTTCAACATCAAATTTTAACAAATTACATTGATTATTGAATATAAAAAAATTACAAAAATGCAGCTAATTTAAGATCAGTATTACCCTTAACCAAATTCAACAGTAGTAAGGGCTAATTGAACCAAAATGGTAAGGTTTATTTTTTTAAAAAAAATAATGTTGATTTCAATAAATTAGGTTTAATCAAAAAAAGAAAGAAAAGAAATAAGAGAGAGGGAAAAATAGATGCAGGGAGAGATGCAGAACAGCCGAGGATGATGTAGATGAAAAAGAAAACGACAGAGATAAATGATCCAAAGTAGATATTTATACTTTAAGTTGATTAGGCTGCATTTGTAAAGTTCAGAAATAATGTTCTGGGTTAGAATTCGNGCATGATGTAGATGAAAAAGAAAACGACAGAGATAAATGATCCAAAGTAGATATTTATACTTGAAGTTGATTAGGCTGCATTTGTAAAGTTCAGAAATAATGTTCTGGGTTAGAATTCGATATTTATCCTTCGAGTTCAATTATGTCTCATAAAATATTTCAATTAAAGTCAATATATCAATAGCCCAAAAAATGTCACCAAAGGGAGGGAAAGGCATACGCCTTATGAGCCATAGGCTTAAGCCCAAGACAAGCACCTCATGCAAGACTACACCATAGTGAAGTCACCACACCTCGAGGCTCACTAAGGTGCTTTTAGTGCACCTCGCCTCGGATCAAGGTGAGCAACTAGGTGCAATTTTCATGGCACTAGCCAGAAGCATTTTGTGGCATAGGATAGAAGCCCATCCTAACCTGGTTATGCAGTTGGAGACAATGTAAATCACTTGCCTACGCAGCTACACATCGAGTCAATATGGAAGTTTAAGCTTTAACATAATCACATATAAAGCAAAAAATATTCTAGGCAAACAATATAGAGAAAAAAGTTACCAAGGCAACAACGATAGTATGTATATGTGTGCTTCTTTTTTTTTTTTTTTTTTTGAAAAACAAAATTAAAAGATGGTAATTGAACCCCTTATGCCATGTCACCTATAAGGGGATTCAAACCCTCATGCCCGTGTATAAACATGAAACGAAGGGTGTGATATAGCTGGAGTACTGCACAAAAGTAAATATTAGTATACTAAGAAGCAGGTCTTGGTGCAACAATAAGGTTGCTCCAAACCTGGAGGTCACGGGTTCAAGTTGTGGAAACAGTCTCTCTGCTTGCAAAGGTAAGGTTGCGTATATCTAATCCTCCCCAGACCCAGTAATGTTAGGAGCCTCGTGCACTGGATACGCCATTTTTTATGGTGATTTGCTAGTTTGGTACAAAATAGTAGCTAAGTGCAAGTACAGATCCAGCGCCATGCCTATGAAAACGCAAAGAGAATAAAAGACTTAAGCAAGCAACAAAAAGCACAGTTAGAGAGAATGAGAAGAGAGGGAATTATCAAAGCATTTGGAAAGAACATTCACCACATAAGAACCAAAATGTAATTAAGCACATTCTTTTGCACATGAATGTGACACATTGCACCTTCTTCAATATGTTATTACTATCCCAACAAAAATGGAACCTTAAAGTAAACCAAACAATCATACAACCAATGTTCACAGCAGGAATGAAAAATAAACTCATATTTCCATCTAGCTCTATGGCAATTAAGGAACAAACATACCTGCGGTGATCCCTCTGATAAGGTGCATCACGGTAAGATGAGCGTTCACTACTCCGAAACCTCTTGGCTCGTGGAGGGCTTCTGCTTCTACCTGAACTCATATTTAACACCGCCTAGCGGAAAATCTTACCTATATGGAAGTAGATAACAATTTAGAACCACAGCCACCAGAAGGCCAAAAGTTGGCATACAAAAAATACCGAAAGAGTCTCTTCCCTGCCCATATCACCACAACACTTGTATCACGAAATCAGGAAACCAAAATCATCTCCGATAAGGACCAGCTTAAAACCCGATTACAAAACACCAGAATATGATACAGTTAAATAGTGGCATGAGAAAAACATGTTATAACTTGAACCTGATTGAGACCAGAAACCTAAAACCTACACATGCAATGACATAGAAAACGCAGCTCCCCAATTCTCCTCTCTCAAACTGATAAATGACCCAACCCAGAACAAACAGTGTCCCAAAAATTAATCATTTCTATTGTCTAGACAGCATGTATATTCAAATTTTAAAAAAAAAAACGAACCCAACTCACCCATTATAATGCTGCTTCTAACAACACAGGTTTGAGCTTTTAAAATTCGAATTGCTAAAAAATCAGTTCAGAATTCGAACTAATCTGCCTCAATGACATTTTCAAGGAAGGCCAATATGATATGCTGCCAAATATAGCTTAATAGCATTCAACAAACCACCAAATATTATAAAACCTATATTCCATTGAATCAACAACCTCAACACCAAGAAAGCAAAGCCATTCAATAGACTTCAACAAAAATTCAGATAATGGGTTGAGATTTCTTCAAATTCTACGCTAGTGGCAATAGATCCTCTCCAATTTTCCTCGGAAGACCAACAGGCCGTAATAAAATATAACCTAAAGCCAGCGTAAAACCCATAAATCTTCTGAGCAAATAACAATTAACGCACTCATCAACGAATCCCAATATATTCAGAATACATCGATACAAACTTATATATATATATGCATATACACACAGCATTTCTCGAAGACAATACAAGTACACATAGAAAGATTTGGAGGAGATAATGTAATGGAGTGAGATATGGTACCTAGTGGAACTTTTGCCCTTCAATTCTGATTGGCGAACCGAATACACCCACATGACGAATAAGGGAACCCTAGATATGGAGATCCATTGGGGATTGGGGAGATAGAAATAAGAGTGGTGGTTTGTTTCTGAAGTTATTCGACGACGCCGTTTTTGTTATGCTGCTTTTAGCTGATGTGCCAGATTAGCAATACTATTTGAGCTAAATTTATTCACTAATGCTAATCACAATCATTGGATTGATCCTAGAATGACAAAAAATAAATAGTGGGTCCAATATTTTTTGAGATCCGCTATTAATTTAATTATTAAAATGTATTAATTAAATCAATAAATTAGATACAAATAGTACTACATAAATAATAGACAATTATTTTTACGATAAAATATATAGTTGGTCTCCAAATTATGCGATTTGTGTTAATTTGATCTCTAATCTTTTAATTGTTTCAATGTGGTCCTCAACTTCTCTATTTGTGTCATTTTGGTCCAATCAAAAAACGGTAATTAAAATTTACTAACTGAGATCGTTATGTACATCTCATGTGATAATAAGGTGCATTATTTAGAAATTTTAGGTGTTTAAGTGACACAAACTGTAAATTTGAAGAACCAAAGTGACCCCTCAAGTGTGGTCAAATAAACATTTCCGTTAGTCAATTCAAACTATTATTTTTAATTGGAGCGAAGTGACATAAATTGAGAAGTTGAAGGGCCAAAATTAACACAATTTAAAAATTACAGACCAAACTAAGACAAAAAGCGTACCAAAAGTTTTACCCCACTTTTTATTTTTAAACTCCAAAAATTAATGCAAAAATTTACTTTTTTACAAAAAAAATCTTCTTGGGTTGGATTATTTACGGGTCTCGTTATTCGGCTCAAAAAAATAAGTCCAAAACCTGTTAGGCCCGATAGTTGGTTCGTCCAAGTCCAAGCCTAATATCCTTCAAGAGAGGATTTGAGTTTGCCCCCAAATCCATTACCCTGTCCGAAAATTGACCCAAAAACCCGTCCACCCTTCCTTTGAAAAAAAGTTAAATATTATAAATAATATATTTTTTTCTTTTTCATGTATTAAACATACACGTTTTAAAAGGTAGAAACGTGCAAATGATAAATATGTGGATATGTGTCAACCTAGTTGAAATATGTTCATTCTATTCATAAATATAATTATTTATTATTTACTTTTTATCTATTTTTTCTCTACTTTTGATTCAAAATTGTATTTTATAAAAATATGAAGTTACAAAAATATTTATTATTTTAAATAATATTGTATATAAAAAAATCCGTCCAGTAAGTCCACTCAATCGGCCCTACCCACAGTCGGCCCTCTGCCGCCCAATAGCTCAATGGATAAGAGTTTGAGCATATCCTATTGAGGCCCGGCCCAAAAAATAATTCGCAAGCTTAACCTGACCCGTCTCATGGACACCGGTACAAAATCGTCTCAACTACTTATCATTNGCTCGTCCAAGCCCAAGCCTAATATCCTTCAAGAGAGGGTTTGAGTTTGCCCCCAAATCCATTACCCTGCCTAAAAATTGACCCAAAAATCCGTCCACCCTTCCTTTGAAAAAAAGTTAAATACTATAAATAATATATTTTTTTTTTTTCATGTATTAAACATACACGTTTTAAAAGGTAGAGACGTGCAAATGATAAATAGGTGGATATGTGTCAACCTAGTTGAAATATGTTCATTATATTCATAAATATAATTATTTATTATTTACTTTTTATCTATTTTTTCTCTACTTTTGATTCAAAATTGTATTTTATAAAAATATGAAGTTACAAAAATATTTATTATTTTAAATAATATTGTATATAAAAAAATCCGTCCAGTAAGTCCACTCAATCGGCCCTACCCACAGTCGGCCCTCTGCCGCCCAATAGCTCAATNATTATTTTAAATAATGTTGTATATAAAAAAATCCGTCCAGTAAGTCCACTCAATATGCTTGCAGGTTAGGTTGCTGATAGCTTATCCCTACCCACAGTTGGGCCGCCGCCGCCCAACAGCTCAATGGATAAGAGTTTGAGCATATCGTATTGAGGCCCGGCCCAAAAAATAATTTGCAAGCCTAGCCTGACCCGTCTCATGGACACCGGTACGAAATCGTCTCAACTACTTATCATTTAATAGCAATAATGTTATATAATTTGTGAATTGCATATCATCTACAAAATCAAAACTACCCAACATATCTGATTAATGTTAAGTCACACTTGAGATCCTTCAGATTTTTTCAATTGAAATGGATTAAAAGACTCGATATTTTGCTTTTATCTAATTTTTCTATACCACAAAAAGTATGTATTTCTTTTCTTAAAATANTTGATTCAAAATTGTATTTTATAAAAATATGAAGTTACAAAAATATTTATTATTTTAAATAATATTGTATATAAAAAAATCCGTCCAGTAAGTCCACTCAATCGGCCCTACCCACAGTCGGCCCTCTGCCGCCCAATAGCTCAATGGATAAGAGTTTGAGCATATCCTATTGAGGCCCGGCCCAAAAAATAATTCGCAAGCTTAACCTGACCCGTCTCATGGACACCGGTACAAAATCGTCTCAACTACTTATCATTTAATAGCAATAATGTTATATAATTTGTGAATTGCATATCATCTACAAAATCAAAACTACCCAACATATCTGATTATTGTTAAGTCACACTTGAGATCCTTCAGATTTTTTCAATTGAAATGGATTAAAAGACTCGATATTTTGCTTTTATCTAATTTTTCTATACCACAAAAAGTATGTATTTCTTTTCTTAAAATAATAATTTTAATGTCTTGTAATCAAAATTGATTGATTAATTAGTTGTCCTATCACCTACTTATTTTGAATATAACTTTTTCAATTCTTATGTCAAATTTAAATTTTCTTTTGTTGTTGAATTGGGCTGTTTGCTCAAATTTGTATAATGCAAAGAAAGATAGAAAAATATAGTAAATAGGAGTAATTTATTATCTGAGACTAACATGCTCATAATCACGTTGCTAAATGTATTCATTTAAACACAATTATCTATAATATAAAATAAGATAGATTTCAATAATCTCACCCAACAGTCTCAAATAGATTTATTTAACGATTACCAACATTTATCTCATCATTCATATTTCACTGTGTCTTTAAGTACGGGTTAGTCATACTATCTCTATAATTTTAAACCACACATCATTTCCTCTAGTGCAATTCGACGCCAATTCAAACTAATACACATCCCAAAAGATTCCATTTGCCTAAGTTCAAATTCTCTTTTTTCATAAATTCCCCGATAGGAGGTAATTTTTTTNCCTATCACCTACTTATTTTGAATATAACTTTTTCAATTCTTATGTCAAATTTAAATTTTCTTTTGTTGTTGAATTGGGCTGTTTGCTCAAATTTGTATAATGCAAAGAAAGATAGAAAAATATAGTAAATAGGAGTAATTTATTATCTGAGACTAACATGCTCATAATCACGTTGCTAAATGTATTCATTTAAACACAATTATCTATAATATAAAATAAGATAGATTTCAATAATCTCACCCAACAGTCTCAAATAGATTTATTTAACGATTACCAACATTTATCTCATCATTCATATTTCATCGTGTCTTTAAGTACGGGTTAGTCATACTATCTCTATAATTTTAAACCACACATCATTTCCTCTAGTGCAATTCGACGCCAATTCAAACTAATACACATCCCAAAAGATTCCATTTGCCTAAGTTCAAATTCTCTTTTTTCATAAATTCCCCGATAGGAGGTAATTTTTTTAAAAAAAAATTGGGAGGTTGGTGTTGTTTTGGGGGGGGGGGGGGGGGTTAAATTCCATCGTTCAAATAATAATTACTATGATTTTAGGGTAAAACAAAGATTTCTCTTTTTCGGAGAAGTATTAACTAGTAGGGTTGATAATTTAGTTAAACTTTAAGAGTTCAAACCGAGTCTATCGAATTCATTTTTTTAAACGAGTATAAAAAATTGTTTAAGTTCGGCTCGTTTAAAAAATGAGTAAAACTCAAGTCGAACTCGAATAATTCGATTATTTTGTTTTGTTTTCTAGACAAATGTAAATAATTATTCAAACTCTACTCATTTAAAACATGAACCGAACTCGAATCAAGTCTTATTCGAATCGAGCCAAAGTCGAGCCCGAGTTTAAAAGCAATCTTCATGAACAAATGTCTTACTAACCCAGAGGGTTCTTCCAATTTCACATAGTTTTTGATCGTATATTGAACATTATCTATTTAAACGTTACATGTGCCTTCAAATTCAAGAATATGATCGTCTACCATTTAACTCTCACAGATCTCGCTACATGCAAGATCATTGCATTCAGTACGATCTTATCTTAGCTAGCAATATAATGCGTGACATAGATGCACTTTCAAAAATGCCAAAAGCACTATGATAAAAAGAATAATAATTTAAGCATATAAACATCTTTATAATGCATAGGAAAAATTAAGCATATAAGCATCATATTAAGGCATGGATTACAGATCACCGAAGCCAAGAAAGCCCCGGGATGAGAAAAATAGTTAAGTAAACTACACATATGATTCTCAAACTATGACATTTGTATCAATTAAACCCCTAAATTTCTTTTTATGTTAATTGAGTCATTGAACTCTCTAATTGTGTCAATTGAACCATTTTGTCTATCTCCATTAGAGTGTGGACACAAAAAAAATATAAGAGCTCAATTAACATAATTAGAGAGTTTAGAGACTCAATTAACGCAAAAAAAAAAAATTCAAGGACTTAATTGACACAAGAATCAAAATTTGAGGAACATGTGTAGTTTATTCCAGTCATTTGTGTCATGTGAGTGACACACTTTGCCATTCTCCATTAGGCAAACAAAAACGCTCAATTGACACAATTAAAAAATTCAGAGGCTCATTTAATACAAAAAAAAAAGTTCGAGGACTTAATTGACGCAAGAGTGATACTTTGATAGNATATAAGAGCTCAATTAACATAATTAGAGAGTTTAGAGACTCAATTGACGCAAAAAAAAAAGTTCAAGGACTTAATTGACACAAGAATCAAAATTTGAGGAACATGTGTAATTTATTCCAACCATTTGTGTCATGTGAGTGACACACTTTGCCATTCTCCGTTAGGCAAAAAAAAACGCTCAATTGACACAATTAAAAAATTCAGAGGCTCATTTAATACAAAAAAAAAAAGTTCGAGGACTTAATTGACGCAAGAGTGATACTTTAATAGTCATATGTATAATTTACCCAAAATAGTTTGTTGAACGGCCGCGATTAAGGCGGTTCTCATCAGCTAGTTGGATGCACTCGGCAAATTCGGCCCAACTAAGTAGGAGGCTTGCAGCCAGACATACTTTTTGAGACTGAANAGTTCGAGGACTTAATTGACGCAAGAGTGATACTTTGATAGTCATATGTATAATTTATCCAAAATAGTTTGTTGAACGGCCGCGATTAAGGCGGTTCTCATCAGCTAGTTGGATGCACTCGGCAAATTCGGCCCAACTAAGTAGGAGGCTTGCAGCCAGACATACTTTTTGAGACTGAAAATCCTTTGTTCTTCATGATCAAGATGAGAATGGATTGTCTCACCAGCCCATAAGTGCTCTTCTAACTCTATCCACAATCTCTCTTCTAGCTCGAAAGCTGGCTAATGGAAATTCTCGGGTTTCATCCAAAAGGAATCTGTACACTTCCCACTCGCGATCTGATGTTGAGAGTCTTCCAATTTCAGCCTATAAACCAACAGAATAAAGATTTTATTCACACGAAAATGAACGTGTCCTCATAGGTGTGCGCAAGTTAGCCAGAGAGATGTAATATTTCCCAGAAGCCATAAAAATTCATGAGAAAGTGCAAAGATATTCATATATTCAATTCCTTACCGAAAAGACACATATCCCAAGCATCTTTAGAGCAAAAGTTACATCATAGAAAACACGGGGCCTCCCCTTTCCAGACAACTCAACAGGATTAGCAACCAAGAGTTCTGTATCAGGGCCACGGTTTGCAATGGCAACTCGCAATGGGTGAAGCATCTCCTCCTTCAAACGAGAACACAAAGCAACCTGATTGTCATGATCTATAATCTTTTTCCCATCTGTTTTCTGGATAAATAGGTCAATGGTCCGGTACCCTCTGACACTTGGAGTGATTCTTCCATAAGCAATCTGAACAAGGAAAACCATCTACTGGTAGGGTAACAATGGCAAGCAGACAGTAAATTGCACTCACAGAGTGTTATGGAACGGAGGAAGATTTGGAGGACATGCGAAGTGTTCCATCAACAAAATTTTCAACAAAAAAGATTCACCCCATCAGAAAACCAAACTAACCCAAGAACTATGTTGTCCAGGCCAATCAAAAGTAGTGACAAGCAAAGTAAACGAGAAGAAGTTGCATTTCTTTGGCCAAGGCAAATAAGGATTTTGTTCCCTTACACATGTTGTACAATAAATTCATTTTCAGCATGGATAGCATTCAGCTCTTCTTGATAACGTGAATTTCACACTGGTATAAAAATGATTAACAAGGAATTTAGGACAAGGTACCTGAATATTGAAGTCCTTTGTGGTCCTTAAAATATCATAGATGAGGCCCTTCTGATCAGTGCATTGTATTTGGAGCAAGGTATGAGCAGGGCTCATAAAATTATCCACTGTAATAGTAGCCTTCTTAACTTGTGTCATATCCAGGCCGATGGCCTTTGAGCAAGCTTCCTTGTTGGAGGGTTCACAACTGAATAATTCTTCATAAACTGCTTGCGAAAGAGAAGAGAACCCCTGCTGACTATCGTATTCAGGCCCAGCCAACAGAAGTTCACAGCTTATACAATACTTTCCTAGATCAACACTAAGGTGTTTGCATGTTTCATCTCGTCTCTTTTCCGTGTGTAATAGGTCCCTGAAATGATACAGCACCAAATAACACAGATTACTCACTACCAGTCACAAAAGACTAGAAATCAATGGAAATTTCACTTTATGTGCACATCCTCAAAATAAGTGCAATCAAACAAGAAACATGTTTAGAGAACTAAAAAAGAAGAGAACTGCTAAAAAAGTCTGAATGAACTACAAAAGAGCCAAAGCAGGCCATTTGGCCAAAGAACTCCACACAATCATATGTTAAACAAGTACCTCACAAGGCAGTCAAGGCAATTTGCAGATTTTTATGCGAGGTACACACATTTTGTTTCCTCCTAGTTATTTTTAGGGGACATTTACAAGTTAACCCCCTTTGCTCTTTGGTTTTGTAATGAAAGGAACAGTCGGACAGACATAATATTTTGTTTTCACTACATTTTTTTCTCAAACTCTTCAACTACAGCACCAGAACTCTGAGTGTGTGTGTGATAGCAGTAAGAACTTCAGTTTACAAGGGTGGTGAGGCTTGAAGCACTCATGGCAACAGAATCCCATATCCATTATAGTATTATCATATTACAGTTACTGCTTTTTAAAGTTGTATTCACATGTTGCTCAGAAGTTCCTTTTTTTATATTTTTTCTATTCACAGCCCATTTTCCATCTGTTAATTGCTGTTTAGGTCGTAGATGTTCTACTACTTTATTTGTCATGAGAATTTCCCATCATGTAATAGAATCCTTCCTAGCGCATCAAGTGGACCACTAAGGGCAAGTCAGCTGTAAGCATCCAGCTGTGGACATCATCTTCACAGATCATGGGTTACACCCCCTTTCTTCGACTGTTGGTCCACATTTGAAAACCATAATGTACATCCAATTTACCTTAGCCACCAACACAGAGAGAGAGAGAGAGAGAGAGAGAGAGATTAGGGCTGACTGCAGAAACTTGTTACCCGGTTAAATAACAAGCAAATTCAGGAGCTTAATGTATTCCTTATGTATGCAAGAAGGCACGTTGTGTATGGATAGGTTGTCACAATGTTCGCTTCGGACGCATTTATCTGAAACCTTGGGGTACAAAGGAAAGTTCCAATTATGGTGTGAACCTGAAGCTTCTTTAACTGGTTGCCATGCAATATGCAATTATGCATCTATAATATCTTTGGCCGGTGTCTCACTCTTCACAAAAATAGAGCAGCATGTAAGGAAACAAACTTTGATGGAAGCACACTTGATGAATCAAGACAGCAGAAACATTGGATGGAATATCCAAATCCTTTCATGATCAGAGAACAGATATCAGATATGCTGAGTACGGAATTTCACCAGATGGAAATTTGTGCATTTCGTTAAAAGATATCCTTCAGCGGATTTTCTCATGGGCTGAAGACTAGGACAGAGTATAGCAGTAAATATCACTTTTGCTTCGTCAGTGAGGAGGTTCATACTATCTACATAGACCCGGCACAGCTATATGACATCTCATTGTAATCCCTCTTGGTTCACTATGGAAGCCTCAGCATATTGCAACAAGCATGTCAACCTAATTGCAAATACCATCTCAACACAAGGACCAGAACCACCAAATCGACATATGCCACTGTTAACAGAAGACTGGCACAGCTCACATAAAGTGGGGGATCCTGGGCTGGTCAGAATTTCCGACAGCACAAGTACCTAACTGCTGAAGGAAGCATGTTAGAACATCTCAAACCAAACCACAGGCCACTAGCCACCTACAAGTGCTACATTTGCCTTTTGTAGATGTAAAAGCTACATCACAATCAGAAACTCGTGTGACCATCTTCTTGCTATTCTTACAATTTACAGAAAGTGGACCTTCCCAATATTATCTTCCTTATCCATGCAGCCTTCCCTTTCAACTCCTTTATCACAGCCACTCATATCTAATGAACATATTGAGGAGACATGGCACCACTAACTTGTAAGGCACTTAAGATTTTCTCCTAAACCTAAAAAATGAAGGATCAGACCAGGAAATGATCATTACAATCAATGCTGAAGTCAAAATGCTATAAAATTTGGGCAAATTTTCAGAGAGCAAAACTAAAACAAAGGAATCATAGGATGAACATCTTTACAGACAAGCGGCCAGCCAACTAAAAATACATCAAAAGGCATTGCAAATAACTGATTTGATAAACAAAAAGATAAAGTGCATGTTCTAGAATCCATAGCATGAGTGATTATAACAACAATCTTCTTTGCCAGATAAAAAGACCCTGGCCCAGTTTAGTCCCCATTATTGAGTAAGCATTTTTGGTAAACCTCAGTATTGGCAATATTTTGCTTTAAAGAGATTGCTCACATCTAATATAACAGTTGCTTATACCTACCATGTTATCCTTGCGTCAGGCAATGATTCCTCTCAAGGTTTTTTTTTTGGACAAAATTCCTCCCAAGGTTAAGTCACTCATTTCTTGCATCAATTTTATTATTTTCATAATTCAGAAATGGAACTCTATATAGAATGACTGACAAAGGAAAGATTTGGAGTGTAAGCTAAATTTTCTAGGATGCACTCAGACACTGCTATGCCACATAATTACTCATGTAAAAGTTTTACACCAAAGAGAAGACTCACATGCCATCTGTAATGAAAAAGAGGTCCAAGACTTTGCCATCCGGAGTTGTCATCACTTTTACTCTTTGAATTGTTAGCTCAAGACCACAGAGGACTTTAGTGACATCTACATACAATGCACAACCATATCAGAACATTTCAAATGAATCAAAAAACATACACCAAAAACCGTAATAATGGTAGTTACCATGCAATAATCCTTTCCTGTCCAGGCAAAAAACCTTTAACATGTACAGAGGAGGTGCTGAAGAACCATTGGTCTGCTGGTCAAAGTAAAATGGAAGAAAATGTGGACAAGTAGACAGAAGCCGGTTTTTCAAGCTCTCCCAATCAACTCTAAATGAGCTCGGACGTGGAACAACCCACAACACGATGTAACACCATTTTCCGTCGGTGGAGAAATCTAAAGATGGGTTACTTATAAACATCAGTTAAACAGAGAAAATACAGAGGCAAATGACCAGGACAATATAGCAATGGAAATTGAAGGATGCAAGGCTAATGAATGTATTATTGTCATACTCTTTGTTAATCAACACAATAAATGAATAATCACATTTAAAATTATGTATATATCTCAGATGAGGATGCATCTTCGAGATAGAGTCTAGATGCAGGAGTCCTTTGTTCATTGAAAGGGTAAAAAACTTGAGCTGTAAAACTCAAGAATGCAAGGTCCACTACGAGAGAGGTCAAGCTGGGCAAACAATTCCAGCGATATGTCCATTCACATTGTATTCCTAGCATCTAGTATTGGCTTATCCAGCACTAACTACCGACCTTAAGTCCCATTGAAACAGATCTGAGGCACAGGTGAGATCCATCTGCGCTAAGGGGAAACAACACTAGCCAATGGCGTTACTGCTTTTTGACATAGAGATGAGGCATAAGAGACTGGCAAAGGGAAAAAAAAAAGATAAAGAAACTACTTTTTTTACCAATAGCATGTGAAGAATCTGAAGGTCACTGGTAATGTTTTCCAATATTGTTTCTGAAAGTAAGTAACCAGCTTTTGTTTTAATATTGTTGCAAAGAAAAAGCAAAACAGAAAGTTTGCACTGCACAGGCAACGTAGTACCCCTAAAAAGCAAAGGATGTTGTATCATTCTTTTAGTCATGTTGCAGCACTAGAAATGCAGAGAGGGCTGTCAAATTTTGTGAAGTTAATAGGATAAGTCTATGATACCAAAAAATAATATCATACCCAAAATTCATTTCTCGCCATGATTTTTCTTTAACCTATTTGTGACCGTTAATTGTAACTTTACAGTTTACAAGCAACAGATTTCTATTTAACAAATGAGAAAGTATGGTACTGAAAAGTTATTTGGGAAAAGCATATGCATTTGACATTATTTACACAAAACTCGAAATCAAGACCACCCTGTTGTTATTGTTAGATTGACTTTTAGCATTTTAGCCAACAATGGCTCCTTAAATTGCTCCATCTAACAATAAGTTTATTTTTTCTTTCTCTCCCTCGCATTGTTTATTTCTCTAACTATGCGCTACAATTTTCCAAGTATAAAGACATGTAAGTGTGTATATCACAACAAATATGAAGAATTGTACAGAGAAAGTGAAAGCAGAGTATTAAATCCTAATGCGCATTCATGAAATTTTGATCTTCGCTTATCACCAGAAAAAAGAGCACGCAATACCTATCTTAACAAGTCACCATAAGAAAATCAGTTTAGATGCGAAGTGAAAAATGCTGAAAATAGATACATTGAAATTCATAAAGTCGAAGATTGCCGACCTCCACGGGTAATGAAGAGTCCGAATTCAAGTATGATACCACAGAGATCACAACCTAGTCCGGCCTTGTCGGGGCAGTTCACCGTCACGACGGTGGAGTCGCCGGATTCCTTACCTTCCTCAATCAAAACGGCGTCGTCCAAGGGACTGCCCATTGTCTATAATCTCGAAAGAAATATGTCAAAAAAAATAGCTTTCTACATCAACTGGGACGAACAATGAATGAAGGTCATCGCCGGAGGTTACGATTCTCCAGCTGGTTTCAGGTGGAAAGTTTGCTTAGCGCTGTCATTTTTCTCTCCCCTCTCTCTGAATCAGCGTTTGTTGTTTTATAGCAGAGGTGTCGTAGTCTGGGTTGAGGAGGTTTGGTTTGTCTGGGTTCATGTAGGGTCCACAGGCTTCGTTGTGTCCAGTAGTCTAAAATTATGCACGTGTCAAGCATCTTTAACCACTTACGGTGTCATGCCCAAAACCGAAAAAAAATAAAAAAACTCTCATGGTGTGTCTCCGACCCCCTGTTCATCGGGGCACAGCTCTCCTCTTCTTCACAACTACGTCGTTTTGTGCATAAAATAATATCTTTCGTGGAATAATAATCTCTATTATACAGTTGAGAAGTAAATGATACGGTTTTGTATGTGTGTTTGTATTTTTACTAACGTTGTGGTACTAACAAAAACAGTAAAATAATTATCACAACAGGAGTAAAAACATTCACAGCAGGAGTTAATCACACACAAAAATAATAATTTTTTTATAGCAGGAAAAAATAATTAAAATAATTATTATAACAGTAGTAAAAACACTCATAATAGTGATAAAAATACTTATAAATATAATAAAATTTTTTGTTATAAATGACGAGTGAAAATTATAAAAACATCTATTAAAATGATAAAATTTGAAGATACGGTACTAAAATTTTTCTAAGTACCATACTCAAGTCCTTATTATAGTGTTTAACTTATGAGAATAATACAACAGACTAATATATCTCTTATACTAATAGACATTTGATTTAATGGTACTTTTTAACTTGTGAAAGTTTTATTTTTTTGATGTCAAGGGTTCAACCATTCAAATCTCCCTCTCCCAAAAAAAAGAAAAAAAAATTACAATTCTTACTAATTTTTTTTCATATCAATTAATAAGAAATTGTAATTACAAGTACAAATTTGTGGTCACCAACTTGGTGACAAGTCCTAACCTAAAAAAATAAAAAACACTCGGCGTCTGTATGTTTGAGGTATAAGAGTGGTATAAGGGTGTGGTATAAAGAAAATAGTGTGTGGGGCCTATCTTATATTTTGTTTGTTTGATATTTTTTACTCGGTATTAATTTTTGGGTCATAGTATTAACCCAGTGTTAACAGTAACTCTTATGCCTTCTATACGGTATTAAGCAATACCACATACCCAGTGATATAATATTCTTGGTATAAATTTCATGGAAGTATAATAGAGTAAAAAGACTCAAATGCCCTCATATACAATGTCCCATATAAAAGCCAGTTGTAATTTTTGACTTTTTTTAAGGTTACAATTGTCTTTTTATATTAAATAGTTAAAATTTTTGACTTTTTTAAGTAGGTATTATTTGTGACAAGCAAACAAAGAGAATGATGAAATTATAGTTTAAAATCGAATATAATATACCATTAGATTAAAACGAAATAAATATAAAATCTAATACCACCTAAATTTTATATTTCAAACAAACAACCCTTTGTGTTGTCACAAGTCAATTTACACAGTGAATGACAGATCGTGTTGTGTCTCTTGCCACTCATCAAACGGTTGGTGGTAAATTATGATAGCGAAATTGAAGTTGGCATCTTATTTGGGAACCGTCTGATTCAACTTGAAAGTCGACATCACATTAAACAACCAAGGCCACAAAACACAAGAGGACAGGATTTAATATGAGATAGTGGCAGACAATAAAATTTTGGTGAAACATTTTTCAACATTATTGCACATGAAAAACATTGAATTAGGTTATCTAATTGAATCATTGTGATATAAATATTTAGGGGGATAACTTTGAATATACTAAAGTTGGTGGGATTTCATCAATAGTTTGAGATTGTTGTTTAAAGTGGTGTTGGTGGTTTGTGTACGTCTCAATATTTTGGTAGGGTGCGTTTGGTTTTACTATTTAAGATAAAATTATATTAAATTAATCTAATAGTCACTTTTTTTTTTTTTTTGAGTTCAATAGTCAGCGGTGTTCAAATTAGTTAAAATTAAGTCATCCACGCCGAAACTAAGATATTCATAAAGGGTTATCCATTAATTCTTATTTTGATGACTTACCAATATTCAAATTCAGAACCTCTACATTAATAGCTCGTCTATTTTATTACTTGAAAATTTAATGAAGGCGTGGGTCATGGCTCAATTCAATATTCATTTTTTCTTGTCCAACCATCCAATGTACTATAATAGTGTAACCTTGGATCCTAGATCGACTCTCGATTGACCTCAAGATAGTATGCATCCATTGGATTCCATCTAACCAACGACATATAGATTTGTTTTTTGCCTGTTTTGACGAACTATTTTTTGGGTTAATTTTTTTATTTTTATCAAGTAGTATTACAGAAGCAGAGGACGATAAAGTTTGAACATATAACCTTAAATTTCAACAATAAGAGCAATAGTTATTACCATCTTCAATGTAAACCTAAATCTTTATTTAAATTTAAATAAAAAATAAAAATAAAAAATTTGATTTGATATAGATCTCTCAAATGAAAAAACTCAATTTAAAAAAAAAATAGAGAAATCTAAATTTAAATGAAGATAAAGCTAACTTTTAAAAAAAAGGTAAAATACGACAATTGAATATTTAAAAAATAGTAAAATCTCACAATTAAAGATTTAAATATAAATTTAAGTCTCCCTTGATTTAGGTTTTAAAAATAACATTTTAAATTATTTTTACCCATATTTAACTTTGAGTGTGAAAAAAAGTAAGGGTTGAAAATGCTCTTAGGTCAACCGCTATCCTCACTTAATCTCAAATTTTATTATTAATAAAACTAAAATTTTATTAAATTTGCTGACACTAAATTTCTTGGCATGCAAGATTCATGAATAATCAATAATTCTTATTTCATAGACAGCAGTCAAAGAAAACTATAAATTTTGCAAACATACCACATAAATTCATAATTAGCACTTAAGTCTATTGATTTAATCCAACCAATTAATTTTACATTCCAACAAATTAATCTAATAAATTATACTGCTTGGCATTACATGGTAGAGGAAAGTACACTGTCAATCCCTACTAACGAAAACATCCCTGAAAAAAAAATCATAAATAATTGTCTAAATAATCGAAGGACAAAAAATGCAAAAATGCTCTATACAAACATAATAATTGTTATTAACATAATAAATATTTATATTATCTAACATAATTCAAAGTTCCAAATAAACTAAAAACAGAACAACCAAATAAAAATAAAAATAAAATAATGAACAACGTCACAAGCTTTTTATTTTTTTAAGAGTACAATGTACAAAAGTTAAATTTTTTAAAAAACAAACTAAAAATTTTTGTATCTTTCAAACAGTGTTTATCAAAACCGAACTAACCGATTAGACTAGTTCAACCATGAACCGAAACCTTAATCAGTCCAATTTCTTAGTTAAACCACTTAAAAAAACAAACCGACTAAAAACCTAAAAATCAATCAATTTTTAACAAAAACCATGATGCTTATTTAAAAATTAAATTACATAAATAAATTTTTTTGTCCTAAATTAATAAATAACTAATTTTTTTTAACCTTATTCTTAGATAAATTATAAATGACACCCTTTCTTTTTCTTTATAATTTACTTAAACCTTATTACTTTATTTTAAAATACAATAATCCCCACTTTGTTACTTAATTTCATTAATTTTATGACAAATTATACATATTTTATATTTTTTAACTAAATTATTAAGTTTTATAATTATTATATATATATTTTTATTTCTTTATTATATGACCAATTCAATCAATTGACCTCATAATTAAACCAATAAACCATAAACCCAATCCCCTTGTCAATTTAATGATCAATCCAATTTTAATAACATTACTTTCAAGAAACAAAATTAGATTTCCCCAAATTTTTTTCACCAAAACATAAATATTTATTGTGATAATCATTTATTAATTAATTTTAAAAAATATTTATTCAATTACAATGTAACTAAATTAAAAATAATAGACCAATTATTATCATCAATCAAAATCAAATTCAAGATATTCAAACCAAACATCAAGAGAGAAAGATTGGAAATGTTTCAATTTCCATCTAAATGTTATATCAATTACATGAACATCGCCACAAGACCATCTAAACCCCAGATCTACCACCAAACACCATTTAATACCCACCCAAAATACCCCAACAACCTTAAAAAACCATACAAAAATTCAACCACCAAACCCATACAAAGTTCTGCCCTGTCTCTTCAGAGCATAAACAACATCCATGGCGGTCACCGTCTTCCTCCTAGCATGCTCAGTGTAGGTCACAGCATCGCGAATCACATTCTCCAAGAAAATCTTGAGCACACCTCTGGTCTCCTCGTAGATCAGCCCACTGATCCTCTTCACTCCTCCTCTCCTCGCTAGCCTCCGAATCGCCGGCTTTGTGATCCCCTGAATGTTGTCTCTGAGGACCTTCCGGTGCCGTTTCGCTCCGCCCTTACCCAAGCCTTTACCTCCCTTGCCACGACCAGACATTTTTCAAAAAGAGGTGAATTGAAAGATTGATATTTCTAGGGCTTTTAAAGAGAGATTGAAATGGGTGTGAGGGTGGTAGGGAGAAGCGGTGGGTTTATATAGGAGAGGTGTTGGGAGGGCGTGGATTTGGGCGGGATGGGTTGTTGGCGGTGTTTGAATTTTTGGGCGTTTGGTTTTGGCTTTTGATGGCGGGGAAAGGGCATCGATCCGTGTGGGACGGTTTGGTTGATTTTGGGACGTTGATAGCGTGGGGATCGATGGTTAAGAGTTGTTCCCTGCGTCTGTCACATGGATCGATGACGTGTGGCAATGGATTATGTTTCAATGTCTCTTGTATTGTTTTCTATTGGACTTGCGGTTTTAAACAGTTACGCAAGACCCATGGGCCTAAATGACACAGTTATGTCAAGGCCCAGAGCAAAAGTTGTTCACAATTAGCCGAAGAAGCAACTGGAACACAAACCTATTGTTTATTTTTATTGGAAAAAATCAATTCATTATTTACTGAATAGCAAAAATTGAGCTCGTGTTTTAAACAAATCAAATTTAAACAATTTTTTAGAGTCATTTAGAAAACTAGCCTAAAAATGCTAAGTTTGAACTCACAAAGTTCGGCTCATTTTTATGTAAAATAATCGAGTTTTTTGAGCTTGACTCAAGTTCAATTTGTTTTGGGCTCGAGTTTAGCTCGTTTTTTAAATGAGTCGAACTTTAACAATTTTTTAGCCTCATTTAAAAAAATAAACTTGACTCGAACTCACAAAGCTTAGATCATTTATTTACCCTAATCGAGGCCAATCAATCGATCAAAACCCAAGTGGCTAGTCCCAGCCCGTTCTTGATTCTTCCACACAACTACATATTTAACCATTTTCAACGGTAAATAAACATAACAATAATATCAGCAACTTGAAACATAAAAACTTTATCTAATCTATTGACTTAATTATGTATTAAGGGATAAAGTCTCAACGAAGAACTTCAATAATTACAGTTAAACTAATGTTATCTCACTCGACGGAGCCAAGCTAGTAATCAACTCAATTATCAGATAGAGTCGAGCTCGTAATCAGCTCAATTATCAGACCTAGCCTCGACCAACCTATTGAGGAATACCTAGGTCCAGGCCTTACTCAATGGCCTATAGGGATGTTAAATGAGTCAAGTTTAACTCTTAATTTTAAGGCTTATTCCAGTTCTACTCGGGCTCGGGTTGGTACGACATTGGTCCTGTACTAAATTATAATTGTGTATAGTCAAATTATAATTTTTTAAAATGTAAGTTATAACTAATTGAGGGAAGTTTTTAGGTATAATCGATTGTGAACTTCTTTCAATCAATTATAATTTTATCTTTTAAATATAGAATTTTATTATTAAAAACAATAACTTCTTGTATGGTACTAAAAAAATTTTGGGGTACCATTTGACGTACATATTACGAGGCAGACATGTTTTTCGAACTATGAGGACTTGTGTCCAAGTGGTATGAGTATGACTGACTCTCTTGCCCGTGACTGGTTTCCATTTCTCGTTCGCTGCCTTCCATCGACTCGAGTGGAGCTACACGGAAAACCGAGCGGGGGAAATGAGGAAATTCGATCCGTGGCCGGTGTTTTTTCGGCGAGAGTGGAATTGTAACTGACCCTTCATTGCTGGTTTCGCCACCACCGGCACTATTATCACCCTTTACACTCTCAGCCTCATTGGTTCGCCCACACCCCCCTTTCTCTGCTTATTTCTTAGGATTAATTATAAGTTACACCTTGAAAGATAGTTCAAATTTTAATTTAAGTTCTTAAAGATAAAAATTTGTATCAATGTGTACCCCCAAAGATAAAAAATCTCAATTTGTACCTTTAAAGATAGAAATTTGTATCTATGTGCACCTAAACTAAATTGATAAATTATATGTAGATCCCCTCATGTTTATCACTTAATCATTTACACCCATTCACATTTAGAATATTACACCTACATCTTATGACGTTTGTACACGTGTAATACGTAATCCCTTTTCGTTGATATTTGTTCACATAACCGTCAAAAAATATAATTTTATCATAACAAAAAATTATAAGTTTATGTTATTATCTTTTATTTGGTAGGTCTGATATACTCTAAAGTTTAAAATCAAGTTTATCATTTAAATGTCCAATAGAATGTAGATATTTATATAATATTTTTTATATTCAATGCAATATATCACTCAATGTGCAACCCTTTATTCTATTAGACATTCAAATTGTAAGTTTGATTTTAAACTTTAAAGTATATTGGACCAATAAAATAAAGGGTAATATGAAATTATAATTTTTTATTAGAATAAAATCATATTTTTTAACGGTTATATAAACAGATATCAATGAAAAGGGGTTACGTGTTACACGTGCACAAACGTCATGAGCTATATGAGTAATATTTTAAATGTGAAGCAGTCCAAATGATTAAGTGACAAACATATGAGGATTTATGTATAATTTATCAATTTAATAATTTAGATGCACATTGATACAAATTTTTATCTTTAAGGGTGCAAATTAAAATTTTTTATCTTTGGGGGTGCACATTGATACAAATTTCTATTTTTAAGGGTGTAAATTGAGATTTTTGATCTTTAGGGGTGCACATTAATACAAATTTCTATTTTTGAGAATGCAAATTGAGATTTTTGATATTTGAGGGTGTAAATTAAGATTTGAACGATCTTTTAGAGTGCAATTTACAATTAACCCTATTTCTTAATTACGTCATTTTGCATTTGTTATTTTGATTAATATCACATTTGCTGTTAATTTTTTTGTAATGAAACATTTTGATCTCTATACGTTCTATTGTTTTATTTATTATTATTATTATTTGAGAGATTTTAGGCAATCGTATGGCCCCTAGATTGACACGTGTGAAGATAGATTCGTTGTAAAGCCCCAATAGGCGTCGAGGTGGTAAGTCGAAAGATAATGGCTCGAAAGAATCGAGTACGACAGCTGGCACCGCATTTAATGTAACTTGACTACTTGTTTATGGCGATATGAGTGATGGTGACTAGGTATTAATGAGCGCTTGCATTTTTAAAACCTAAGCCTGTTGTCATGATGGCTAGGCATTGGTGGCTAATATGCCGAGTGTATGCGATCGAATTTTTCTGAAGAATTGTTCTCTCGAGTATTCAATGGTCAGTTGCAGGTGTCAGATGTCAATCTGAAGGATGCGAATACTCAGGGGCAGGCATAAATGCTCGACACTGCGCTGAGCACTCATCCAATCGTCTTAGCATTGAGTAGGAGAAGACTTTGGAGATCACTCGTCGCATAGAAGGTGTCAGACATTAAATGTCCAGATGGGATTTGAAATCATTACAATTATTGCTATTTCAAGTATAAATACTCCACAGAAAAATGAACAAAGGTACGCAATATTAAACCAGAAATAGAAAATTCATTAAGTTTGAACCTCTAATTTTACACTAACTTAAGCTTCGAATGGAATAAGCCGGGTGTTCACCTGACTCCTTTTTTTTCTGATCTTGTCACTTGCAGGCTCACCAGGTTGAAGGTCGCTATTTCAAACTATTGCAGGAAATATTTTGTGCAATTTGGCGCTGTCCGTGAGAAGTCGAGTATCTTTCCCCGTAGCGATCGTCTAATGGTGAACACTCGATCTCAGGGTGAAGGAGGAGCAAGTATGCGGCAAGGAACACTCGGGAAAGCGTCACACTTACCACCAAGTTGCTCTGGATGGTGCTCATCAGGAGCCGATTGTTTGTATAGTCTTTATACACGGCCATGTCGGCTTCAACTAGAAAGTCCCCGCAACGGCAAAGGCTACATCAGGGGACTGAAGGATGGAGTCTGTCTCCAAGATAGGGCAACCTTTTCTGGTCTTGGCTCAAGGGGCCCATTCGGCGGATACAGCCGAGCCCGGGGGTGTCCTACGGGCACTTCACTCGGCGCTCTTCCGACTCCTCGGACTCCCACGGTCCCTTTGCCGATCTCCAGAGGAGGGGACTTGGTGAGATGGGGGCCTTTACCTCTGTGGCATGACCGGGTCCCTGGATGGCTGAGGACGCGGTGGCGACGGAGGTGGTTATCGCCAGGGAAAGTTTGGCAATGGAATGATGGGAGCCGTGTTGGAAGGCCCAGCCAACCCAGCGAGCCTGGCTCTCCTTGCCGTTGCGGCGGCCTCCATGGTGGCAGTAATGATTGGTGGAGGGTTGAACATTTCTTCAGAAGGGGCAGGGGATCGAGAGAAGTGTGCTCGGACTCTTGTTCTGAGTCTTCCTTGGACTCTTCCTCTTCTGATAAGGAGTGGTCTTCCCAAAGAGTGAGGTTGAATGGCAGGGCGATCTGGGGAGAATTTGTTGTAAGTCGGCACGTAGCCGAGCAAGGTATGTGTCGCTCACTCAACATGATCGTGGGACCAAACTCTTAGAAGGTTAGCAAACCTGACTTGAGAACACAAGGGTTGAGCTACGTCCCAGCGATATCCTTCTACAAAAAACAAGTAGTCGAGGTGAGTACCAATAATGGCTAGGGACAAAACAAGTTAGAAAGGGCAAAACACACTTTCATCTCTCGGCACTTTGGGACAATACAATCTGACATACTCGGGCCCCTGTCCCTTCTCCCAACTGCCGTCGAGCATGATTAGATCATCTACGTACCCCTTGTCCGAGTTGAACATGTGGGTTACCAGATACATCAAGGTATCCCAGGCTTGGAGGTAATATCTCCCCCTCGGCGACTAGCCTTAGGTCGTAGTAGAACAAAATTTCATCTACCCCTAAGTCTGTCCCCAACCGAGCATTCAAGGCGATTACGCCCATCACAATCCTAAAAAAATTAACCCCACATTGAAGGGGAAAAAATTTCAGTTGCATCAACATCTTGAACAACAGGGGGTGAAAAGGGAAGATTAGCCCCCCTCCACGATGGTCTTGGTCTAGAAAGGCACCATGTCTACGCTTCCCATGTCCTATTTGTGGTGGGTGGGGTTGAAAG